GGTTGTTACCCTGCCTGGCGCTCGACTTAAAGAGGCTAAAACAAGCACTGGTCGGCTCGGTGTCAGTATACTGTGTCCGAGTGGGGTATTCATGTTAAATTGCGGCATGGTATCTCAGTGATCTTGCACTATACAACACACACACACACACACACACACACACACACACACACACACACACACACACACACACACACACACACACACCTGGCTCGAATTCATATAACTAAAATACTATTCACAGCGGCGTAAAACACAACTGACTCACTTTGGGAATATGGACATACCTATACTGAGCATTTATTCTTAATATGGTTTCATGCCCAAAATATTTTAATATCTATAAACTAAGCTGCAACCGTATCTACATATGTCTATATCAGACCTGAATCATTAAACGTGTGATTATTATTAAACATTGTAGTCTACACTTGTACAAATGTCACCGTAAGCATGCACGGCGCCATATATTGCAATAATCTTCAACCCGACGTAAACACCATTTCACCTCACACCATCTGTGACGTTTGCCGCCCTCATGAAACCCACGAGCATGGTGAACAAGAGGGCAACTAGCGCTGTCATCAATCAGACCTACAGCGGACTGTCAACTTCAGCTTCTCCGCCTCAGCCAGAAAAAGATGTTTCACAAACATAATACATTATTGTGATAAGGCAGAAGGGAGGCCACATTCAATGACATTCTGCAAGAAAACTGCAGACAATGCGGTCGATGGTCATCAACGGTGACTATGATTATAACTGAATAATTTTATTTTTTTTATCATAGAATGTATGTTCTTCAGTTTAATGTTTAGTGTAACCAATGAGAAACAATTACCATCGATTGGTGTAGGTATTTAGAGACCTGAAGATAGAGTTTTGAAAATAGAAATGTAAAAGCCCGCAATTTATGCATCATTTGCATGTATGTTGAGGTAAACGTCCCTCTGCAGATGATTTTGCACAGCAATGCAACATAGCTAAGTTCACACGAGTGATCTCCCTTGAGCCGCACCGGCCGTGATCATTCTCCCCGCTGTGTAAACTACTTTTAATCAATCTTAATTATTGCACTTTTTAAAATGAAAATGATTTTACCCAACTTGATTTAGTTTAAGTTGATGATATTGTGTTTCGTGTTAGTAACAAGGGTAGGTGTTATGTAAGCACAAGCTATACCCAAGCCTATTTAAGCAGATTAGGCCATCAGTACCACATTCTTACTGTAATGGCCTAAAATAAGGATGAATGTTACAATGAGGCACATGTGACTGTGTGTCGTCACAACCAAGTCGTTGATCATGCTATCAATCACCGGATTATCTGACTCAAAGTTTTTACATAACGCGTGTTATAACTTTAATGTTGCTAACGGCGCAAAACATTATTTCCTGTAACAGCCTTAATCAGCCATTACTTTCACGACTGAAGAGTACGTACACCTGCTGACTGGGAACGTTACAGTCACTGGGACACGATGACATGATGTATATGGACAGAGTGGACTCAGGTGTGTAAATCAGGTCACTGTCTTACAGAGAGCATCTTGTTATTTTGTTGAATATCATTCATCAGTCGAAACACGGTTAAAATAATCATACGGTTAATTCCTCAGAACATAACTGGATACCCCATTCACCACCGCCCATAACGACGTTATTATTTCCAGCGATGTCAAAATGACTCACCAAACGTTAAAAATCAGCTGTCATATATATACATTTTGTGTATACCATGTGATTTAAATATGTGTTTCCGAGGTTAATAGGGTTCAAAGAATCTTGTCCGGGTACGTAGCGTTCCATGTACCCCATGCCTGTCTCCGTAAGGGCTCTGGGTAGGTCCACACTACTCCATGCCTGTCCCTGTAAGGGCTCTGGGTAGGTCCACACTACTCCATGCCTGTCCCTGTAAGGGCTCTGGGTAGGTCCACACTACTCAATGCCTGTCCCTGTAAGGTCTCTGGGAAGGTCCACCCTACCCCATGCCTGTCTATGTAAGGACTCTGGGTAGGTCCACATTACTCCATGCCTGTCCCTGTAAGGGCTCTGGGTAGGTCCACACTACTCCATGCCTGTCTATGTAAGGGCTCTTGGTAGGTCCACACTACTCCATGCCTGTCGCTGTAAGGGCTCTGGGTAGGTCCACACTACTCCATGGCTGTCGCTGTAAGGGCTCTGGGTAGGTCCACACTACTCCATGCCTGTCTCTGTAAGGGCTCTGGGTAGGTCCACACTACTCCATGCCTGTCCCTGTAAGGGCTCTTGGAAGGTCCACACTACTCCATGCCTGTCTCTGTAAGGGCTCTGGGTAGGTCCACACTACTCCATGCCTGTCCCTGTAAGGGCTCTTGGAAGGTCCACACTACCCCATGCCTGTGCCTCTAAGGGCTCTGGGTAGGTCCACACTACTCCATGCCTGTCCCTGTAAGGGCTCTGGGTAGGTCCACACTACCCCATGCTTGTCTCTGTAAGGGCTCTGGGTAGGTCCACACTACTCCATGCCTGTCCCTGTAAGGGCTCTTGGAAGGTCCACACTACCCCATGCCTGTGCCTCTAAGGGCTCTGGGTAGGTCCACACTACTCCATGCCTGTCCCTGTAAGGGCTCTTGGAAGGTCCACACTACTCCATGCCTGTCTCTGTAAGGGCTCTGGGTAGGTCCACACTACTCCATGCCTGTCCCTGTAAGGGCTCTTGGAAGGTCCACACTACCCCATGCTTGTCTCTGTAAGGGCTCTGGGTAGGTCCACACTACTCCATGGCTGTCGCTGTAAGGGCTCTGGGTCGGTCCACACTACTCCATGCCTGTCTCTGTAAGGGCTCTGGGTAGGTCCACACTACTCCATGCCTGTCTCTGTAAGGGCTCTGGGTAGGTCCACACTACTCCATGCCTGTCCCTGTAAGGGCTCTTGGAAGGTCCACACTACTCCATGCCTGTCTCTGTAAGGGCTCTGGGTAGGTCCACACTACTCCATGCCTGTCCCTGTAAGGGCTCTTGGAAGGTCCACACTACTCCATGCCTGTCTCTGTAAGGGCTCTGGGTAGGTGCACACTACCACATGCTCGTCTCTGTGAGGGCTCTGGGTAGGTCCACACTACCCCATGCTTGTCTCTGTAAGGGCTCTGGGTAGGTCCACACTACTCCATGCCTGTCCCTGTAAGGGCTCTTGGAAGGTCCACACTACCCCATGCCTGTGCCTCTAAGGGCTCTGGGTAGGTCCACACTACTCCATGCCTGTCCCTGTAAGGGCTCTTGGAAGGTCCACACTACTCCATGCCTGTCTCTGTAAGGGCTCTGGGTAGGTCCACACTACTCCATGCCTGTCCCTGTAAGGGCTCTTGGAAGGTCCACACTACCCCATGCTTGTCTCTGTAAGGGCTCTGGGTAGGTCCACACTACTCCATGCCTGTCCCTGTAAGGGCTCTTGGAAGGTCCACACTACCCCATGCCTGTCCCTGTAAGGGCTCTGGGTAGGTCCACACTACCCCATGCCTGTCTCTGTAAGGGCTCTGGGTAGGTCCACACTACCCCATGCTTGTCTCTGTAAGGGCTCTGGGTAGGTCCACACTACTCCATGCCTGTCTCTGTAAGGGCTCTGGGTAGGTCCACACTACTCCATGCCTGTCTCTGTAAGGGCTCTGGGTAGGTCCACAATTCTCCATGCCTGTCTATGTAAGGGCTCTGGGTAGGTCCACACTACTCCATGCTTGTCTATGTAAGGGCTCTGGGTAGGTCCACACTACTCCATGCCTGTCTCTGTAAGGGCTCTGGGTAGGTCCACACTACTCCATGCCTGTCTCTGTAAGGGCTCTGGGTAGGTGCACACTACTCCATGCCTGTCTCTGTAAGGGCTCTGGGTCCACACGACCCCATGCCTGTCTATGTAAGGGCTCTGGGTACCGGTAGGTTCACACTACCCCATGTACATATCCTTGTGATGATTGTCATGTTTGTGTCACCGTGGGCTTCAGGGAATAAACAAATCCCCACCAAGTGTATGTCACTGATATGGTTCAAAGATATGAAGAGCTCCCTGTATACTTGTATCTCCGCAATGGTGATAGAATAGCACGCCATTCTGCTCTCCTCGGGGGTGTTCAAGCGAAGAACAGGTTCGTCGATCCATTCGATGGATCAAAGCCAACTAAAATAACGACAAGGTGGTTACAGTTTGTGTGATTGTTCTCAACGACGTTGATCGTTCCTCATGCCACCAGCCATGGAGGCCGCTGTGACACAGCACCAATAGTGTTGAGGTCTGAGAAAAAACCAGCAGTCACACACAGTCGCTTACAGCTAATATTTTCCTTACGTGGACTCCCGTAGAATATATACAGCATCTAGTCAGCTTTAGATCTGTTAAATAAGGCTCATTGATGACTTAAATTCATTGTTGAACAATGGCGGCAGAAACAGTCTCCTCCATTAAGGTTAACCAAGTACATCGTTCCATGCAACTCACACAGCCTTATGTCCTACCACTTGCAGTGTCAACAGAGGTCGTCACAATCGGCACAAATGACGTTTCCGTGCGCGCCGTTAGTTAAACAAATTAAAGTATCAGTAATACCACATGAAATTTTTCAACAATTAATGTTGAACAATTTCCTTGTAACCAGTCCCAACATCGTTGAGTCGTGCTGATGAAAGCTGTATAAATATTTGAAAAAGGACAATTTTAAAAAAATTATTTACATTACACCATAGGGATATTCAGTTTGCGTTTTTCACGTGTTATTGTCTAGCAACATAAACGAGTGAACGAAACCCCATGCCCATCTTCTCAACATCACGTTTCGACGCCCATTTCAATGGCAGCGTGCTCATCGTCCGCTACACCATTTGGATTTGATTTAAAATGACGCCAATATTTATGTCACAAGAAGAAACAGCACGGCCATCTTAATGGCTGCTCAAAATACATGTGCTGAAAGGAATATTTTCTTTTCGTCACCATCTCATTGAGCATGCTCGGGTTGGTTGAAAATCTGTACATGATAAACAGCCGCTAACCAGAGCGTGACAGGGAGCAGAGGTGTGCAAGGGGCATTATTATTCCGTCAAACACCCAGGTCACGAGGGAGACAGTTTCATCTCTGTATCCACGAAGAAGATCCGTGGCTCATCTCACACAAGGCAATGTCAAGACAATGTCTGATTACCTCCCTTTGTTGGTGATTGACAAGTGCTGTTGTCGCTCAGATGGGACTGTGGTGTGCCGAGGTAAGACAATGAAATGTACAGCGGGTGTTTGAAGGCGTGAATGAGGAATGTTACCGACAATGTCATGTGTCCTAGGCATCAGTTGATAGACATGGCAGGCTGTCATACATCAACGCGTACGGAATCGGCTTCTGTATCTTAACTTCATGGCCGTTTGATAGATTACTGTGTAGAGTGTTGCGACTGCTTTGACAAATTTAACTGTGCACTGAAGATCTGCACAGTTTGAAGCGATTTCTGTAATATGAAAGCGTCACGGTTGGGTAAATTCAAAACAAAACTCGAACCTTACCTTAAAGTTGGTCTTATCTCGTTTTCCTGTCGCGTGAACATTATTGACTGAAAGCGTTTTGTCATCCAATTACATGCATTCGATTACTGAAGGAATGCTGATTTATTAATTATTACATGAAATAGATTATTCTTGTGTGTACTCTTTTCTCGAAAACAAATAAATAGTTTCTTAGTCTTTACTATTAATTAGTTATACCTTTTAGAGCGACACATGTAGCAGTACCTCCGAACCTATAATTATATAGAAGAAAGACAAGTTCTATGGATGAACAACTTCTTTATTACAATTAGTGCGACGTTTCGGTGTAGATCCTAACACCTTTATCAAGCAAGTGATGGATAGCGCTGAACAACATAGGTATATATCCATAGAACTTGTCCTTCTTCATCACACCAACTTCTAAATGCCACTGAAAGAAGTTATAATTATATACACTGTTATTTGATTTCCTGAAAAGAGACACGTGAAGATTCCGGGGTAGAATAGGTCTTCAGCAACCTATGCTTGCAGTAAAAGGTGACTATGCTTGTCGTAAAAGGCGACTAACGGGATCGGGTGGTCAGGCTCGCTGACTTGGTTGATGCATGTCATCGATCCAAATTGCGTGGATCGATGCTCATGATATTAATCACTGGATTGTCTGGTCCAGACTTGATTATTTACAGACCGCCGTCATATAGCTGGAATATTGCTGAGTGCGGCGTAAAACAACAAACCAACAACAACCTGAAAAGAAAAGTAACTAAGCATTGAGGAAATGTTAAAGATCGCACTACGATATATTTGAGTAAAACTTAGTTTGCTGACTTTATATATTTATATGTTAATAATACAGTTTATAATGATAAAACCATACATCACTGCATAACATATCGAAGCGTGTGAGGTGATATGTTATAACGTCAGCAACATATCTGCAATACCAGTTTACAGTAACAACAGGTATGGCGCACTGTGGCCAAGAGGAAATCGAACCCAGGCCTTGAGTGTGAGGAGCGAACACTGTTATCACCCAGTATGTTCCTTCACCAACCTGGTTTTCTGGCTGTCCAGTAGTGTGTGTCATGTGTGTGTCATGTGTGTGTCATGTCAGTCCATGTTAAAACACTGCTTCAAACACATCTACATTGTCATTTCACGTGATGATACGGCGTAAAACAATAATCACTCAATCATATCGAGTGTAAGATCCGGGTTGGAATTTGCCCCCAGCAGCCAATGACTGACTTCGTAAGAGGCGACTAACGGGATCGGGTGGTCAGGCTCACTGACTTGGTTGATGCATGTCATCGCATCCCAATTGCGTAGATCGATGTTCATGATGTCAGTCACTGGTCGTTTTGTCCAGACTCGATTATTCACAGACCGCTTCCATAAAGATGGAATATTGCTGAGTTCGGCTTTAAACACACAAACATATCACAATCATCCGTAAAATAGATACTTACATTTCCAGGAGGTAACCAGCAGCGAATGATGTAAAACACAATGGAGGAAATCAAACTACCAACCAAAGCTCCAGGGTCTTTGCGAAATAAGACATTAGGGAGACTGACGGGAACAAAGCAGCCCCAGGGCGCAGCTAAGCGCCAGACATGGCACGGCGGCAACCCGAGGCCACCTACTCCAGCACCAGCACCAGTCCCGAAGCCCAACCTGACCTGGGAGCCCGGGATGTTCAACCTGGACTACATCATCAGGAACCTGTACCTGCCCCGGGTGGTGATGTGCGACCACAGTTTCTGTGACCTGGGAAGGGGGACCATGGGGTTCGACTGTGGGCAGCTGCTGATGCTGCAGAGTAAGAAGGATGGGTTGAAGGTGGCTGCCAGTAGTTTGGCCGTGGACTCTCGTGATGGGAAGACTCTGCTGGAAACGGAGAACAGCCTGCTTATTCCCGAGGATTACAAAGGTCGGTACCTATTGCTAAACCTGAATCTGAAAGCATTTCTGGTAAATTGCTGCCCGAGCCTATTTCGAAATATATTATCACATATCATGATATAATATGCTCAGTAAGACGGTAGACGCGTAGCTGTCTAGAAAATGTGTCATAGATATAATTGAGTAGACAATGTGGGTGTCAAAACTTCGAAACAGGAATTCTCCAAACCTCGTTAGACTGGACTCCCGGCATGGAAACCCCGCTTTCTGGACCACACTGTTTGGAACATCTTCATATGATATAAACTATAAGGACTTAATTCCGTAACATCATTCGTTTGTCCGAAAATATGTTAACCCAAACCCTTTAACTGGGAAAGGCATCGACCGAGAAATATTCTGGGGATATAGAGGGATGTTTGTTTACGCTGCATTGCATTTAATAATCAATTCAAACTACCCAAAAGTTTTCCGTCAGTAAGTTATAATAAGGGTAACGCTATTTTTCAGGGCATTATCATTTGCAGAAGCTCGAGGTCTTCCCTTGACTGCCCGACGAAGGAGGGCAGTTGAAAAACCGAGGGCTTGTGCAAATAATAATGCCCTGAAAAAAAGCGTTAACGTTATTATAGCTAAAATGGATGGAATTTGTTATCAAATAAAAAGAAACAACCTTATCGGTTTTGAAACATTTACTGCAATCGACACCAATGTCACTGACCAACTTTTACAATTATGGAAACGTCATAGAACAAACCAGATGACGTCACTATTGCACGTGACGTCACCTATCCCTACCATATGACGTCACCTAACAACCGGCTTATAATGGCCCGTCGTCAAGCAATATGAGGGCATTATCAAGTTACAGTGGCCCGCTGATATCTGATAACATGCGGGCGGTTTAATGATAATTCTATCCATTTTAGCTATAAATAGAGAATCTCACCCGAGTGTCTTTTGATATCAAATATATCAACACGAGGTGATAAAGTGGGAAAACTTGCCGAGGATTTTTTCCACTTTTCTCAATCAAAAGACACGAGGGTGAGATTTTATTTATCATCCAACATCATTCTTCCAACTTTTTCAGTTTGTAGACAGTATTAAGCAGTGTTTTAAGTGTAAAAAGTACTGCTAACAGCTTCAGTTGCAGAGCAATTAGTGTTGTCATTTGATTGTGATGTCATGGTAACCAGTGACGTCACAATGGTCTGCAAAGCATTGTGATGCAATTTCATTGCAGCGATATCTACAGTGTAGATATTGCTTGATCTCACCCAAGCGATATCTCCTGTCGGAGCCAGTTTTGGATGATAATATATGATATATATCAAAGTTTTTATGTCCTGTTTTTTTTGTTCATCAGGCTGGTTTGCTGTCGTCGGGTCAGAGCTGACGCTGAAAGCTATTCCCCACTACCGCCAAGTGGGCCAGTTAGCGATATCCGACTGTCACACGTTTCTCATCGGTGGTACCCGTAACGTGCAGTCTGTACAGAAAGTGGGCGATACCGTGACAGCCTCCAGGCACCTCTGTCCGGGAGATGTTCTGAAAATGGGAATCCTTGACGGAGCTGAGAAGTATTTACACTGTGTGGATGATAATGACAGGGAAGTTCTACTTTCCGTGAATACAGAAGGAACCTTTTACGTCTGCACGAATAAAACCAGACCCAACAACACCCCAGTCATGCAGATAAAGGACATCCTATTGAAACAAAAATTCCCCTGTGTTGTGAAACTTGTGTATGGTAGAGAACCTTCTGGGGAAGGAGTATTCACCAAAATCATGGTTTTGGAGAATGTGCAGGAAGACACCTCAATCCTTTCCTCAACTCTGCTAAAACCAAGCAATACCTTGCATGAGCTTTCTGTGGATATCCCTAACAAATTTCGTGTTGCTGTTCAGAGCAAGGAGCTGTGCCAGAACCCTGGATACATCAGCGCTTTAAATCTGTTCCAGGACAAAGGTGATATGTTTATGAGAGGAATCAAGATGTTCCGACAGGCAGAGAGTCCCATAGAAGAAAAAATAACAGCGATTGGAATCTCCTTCGTATCTCCGGCTGTGAATTCTGTTCCTGTTCCAAATAATACCAAACCGTCAACTATGACAGACCGAACTCCCTCTCCGCAAGCTGTTGAAATTATGTCAGGTCCTACTGCACCAGTGAAACAGGCAGAGCTGAAACAAGGAAATGCACTGACAGTCAGTGATGGCAAACGAGTTCAAGAATCCACTGATGGCAAGTCGCAGGAAAAAGTACAATCAGCTCCAATGTCAAAAGTCTCTCCTCAACCACAACTTAAAATTAATGCCAATTCCAGAAGGTCCTCAATTGACAATCGTCCAAGAATGCCAGAGCCGGCAACACCACAAGAATCTAAAGTAGGTGTGGCAAAAGCCATTAATGGATCTCGCAAAGGGTCAGTTAATAGTGATCGTCCTAATATGACTAAGGCAAATGTTGGATCTCTTCCACAACAAAATGGTGTCAAAAGGAACGATACAGCGACCAGCCTTCCTTCAGAAGTCCCCAAACTGTCTAGTGTAGATGTGAAGATAGAACCACCAGTGCCTACAGTTAATTCACACAAAGCCGAAACAAAGAAACCCAGACCCCCTCGCCCAAACGCATATGAAGAGGTGTGGACAGCAACATCCGGGAAAGATGACGACAGCTCTTCCACCAGCAGCATGAGCGACACACACGTCTTTCAAGATCAAGGTATCGGTGGGCAGGTTGTCACTGGTGGAGTGCCAGCAACCATTCAAACAAATTATTTGAAACCTGAAGAAATCCACGTTGCAGAATCTAAGGTTGACAAGAAACAAGCAAGAAAACCAGCCTCATACTACTCTACCATAAACATTGTTGGAGGAGACCCTGAAATTGTTGAGAACAGCCAACCAGCCACTCCTATAGAAGACCCTAAGATGCTCAAAAAGAAAAAGGTATCTTTTTCAGACATTTTAGATGTACATTCATTTACCAAGCCCCATGTTACAACAATAAACGTCAAAGAAAAGAAGAGCACAACTATTGATGAACTGCATGACTTCAGTGATGGATTCGACTCAATGTACATCCCTGACTTTGATCCCCCGGATGATACATTTGACTCTGGGAGCAGCCTCTCCTCAGGTTCTGCTTCAGGTTCCAGTTCAGATGGAGCTGGTGGAGTTCTGGAATCCTTCATGGCTGACTCTAGTTCCAGTGAAGATGACAGCGGATACATGAAGCCAGTGTTAGACAGAAAGGGACGGGTTAAGCTGGAGAGAGACATTCATAAGGCGCAAGCGGGCCCACCCAGTACTCACGAGGGCATCGCCAAGAGGATTTCTTTACCGAGTATGAAAATTGTTGGGTCTGGTGATGATCCTGAAGGGGAGCGTAAAAGTAGATTTTCGGCTGGTGAGTCAGATATACTGTGGTGACTGTCAGATCTGTGATGCACTGTGATTGCCATGATGATGTTTTCATATTCAGTGGAACCCCTTTAAAAGACATACTATAATCTCTTGCCACCTTTTTTTCGAGACAAGAGATGTACAGTGACGCTTGTACCTTGATAAACTTCGAGATATGGAACAGTTCGGTATAACGAGATTTGACTAATTGACTCATTTTTTTATATTTTTTTATATTTGTTATATTGTAAAATCATATACAATATATCTTTATTTACACTTAACAAAACCATCTATACCTAATTATACTAAAATATTGTTTTGTTTACAATACTACCAGTGATAAGTTTTTGGTTGACAGCAAGAAAATAACGTTCCAATAGAGCACTGTGCAATATTATGTCATGTGTAGAAATAATATAGAGGACACTAATGTTTCACATTACATGTCCGTTGTCGAAAGTGTCAACAAATACTACAAATGTCTCAGCATGATGATTATTGACGAATGTATTAAGTAAATAAAGCTCCGTATGGCGTGTTTTACAAATTGTTTAGAGGATTCACGATTGAGGATTCATTGTTTCTGAGGGTAGTCTTGTGGCTAGTCGGTTTGCTCATCACGATGAAATCTGGATTTGAATCAAACAGTGTACGAAGCTGATGTTAGTGACAGGAGTCATTTGTTGAAAGGTCGCGTCGGGTTCAAGATTATTACACTTGTATAGCCACGTGCATATTCGTATGTGTGCTTGTCCGTGTGTATGTTTGAACTGGTCCGGACTAATGCCGATTATATATAATTATACTTCTAGTCTACTTAGATACCACGCCAAAGTTTATAATGCATATGTCTATTCCACACAGTATACTGACTCCGAACCGACCAGTCCTTGTTTTATCCCCTTAATACCGAGCGCCAGGCAGGGTAACAACTAGTACCACCTTTTAATGCCTGGTATGACGCGGCAGGGGATCGAACCACCGACCTCACCCTCCTGACAGACGCTCTATCCTCTAGACCTCGGAGGCGGTCTATTCTGTTATGAGCGTATTAAGGACATTACGAATAAACAATAATTCGTCAATCCTGATATTTGTTAATCTGGGGATTTCCGCGGGAACGGTACCATCCTGATTGAGGGGGCCCACTTTTGATATATTTTCGATGGTAAACTTATTGGTTTTGGGTAGATCAAATAAACAGGTAGAATGATTTGACAGATTATTCATCCGTTGGCAACTATGTGACGAGCTGGAGCACAATGTCAGCACAACCGCCCAGTCAACATTACACATGTATGACTAATGTATCGGTATAGTGCCTGTATGTCGCAACTCGGGTCATCAAGGTGTTCGGTTCACTGATGAGGTTAAAGAGGTAGCGACTCTGAAGAGTACTCTTACGCCAGGCTTTTGTTGTAGTGTAGAACTATAGACGCTTGATAACACTGATAGTCTTCTACCAGAGCTTGTGATAATTAACGTTATTGTTCGGACAGGACAGATCCCATTGCTACAGGTACTTGTTCAGTGGACAACACAGTAATGACACTTGGACTGAGTGTTGAGATTGTGTTCTGACATCAATCACTTGACTGACTGGTCCAGACTCGATTGTCTACAGGCCGCCGTCACATGGAACAGTTGTTGAGGCGTTTAACAACAAACAAATTAATGTGTGGAACTGTGAACACAGGAATAACGTGTTCACCGGGAACAGGTGATAACAACACATTGCAGCGTTGACGCTTCATCTGTCTACAGTTGAACACGAGTTATGCCCCTTGTACTGTCTACCAAACAATGCATCTGTCTGTCTCATCCCTCGCGAGTACGGGGTGAGTCTGGGGACTACTGCAACATGCTGAGCCCCCTGTAGTCCGAGATTAAAAACCCAGACCCAATATTTGTATCCTCGGGGTATTCCGGCTTGGTCTCGTACCCCAGTATCCAATACCCCATCACCACTTCCAACACCTCCCGCCTCCTTCCCACCACCACCAGTATCGGATAACTGTCATCTGTGTGTGTTCAGACAAGAAACCTGTGCGTGACCTGTTTCCTCTTGGGCATTTCAAGACATACTAGGCCCCCAGTATGTCATACAGGTTTCTTCTGCGAGTCCACACCACTTAATACAAGATATACTGGGTCCCTAAAACCCTATACCAATCGCCCCGTGGGTATTCCGGGACAGACAATTGACAGTACCAATACGTACCACCCCGTGGGTATTCCGTGACAGACCCCTGTACCCATACCTACCACCCCGTGGGTATTCCGGGACAGACCCAAGTACCCATACCTACCACCCCGTGGGTATTCCGGGACAGACCCCGGTACCCATACCTACCACCCCGTGGGTATTCCGTGACAGACCCCTGTACCCATACCTACCACCCCGTGGGTATTCCGAGACAGACCCCAGTACCCATACCTACCACCCCGTGGGTATTCCGTGACAGACAAGCCCCAGTACCCATACCCACCACCCCGTGGGTATTCCGTGACAGACACCCCCCCTCCAGTACCCCGGCCCATACTTGGATCCACCCGGGTATTCCGGGACCCAGCCCCTAGTACTCAATATTTTTTCACTGAATCACATTATCTGACAGTCGTGAGGATATGATATGTCTGAGTGCTACGTCTAAGTCTGTGTGTACCGTCTCCCGAAATGACAAAATGTCCCTTGGGCCACACGTCTGAATACTCATCTGAAGAATAGAACATGGCTTCTACTATTTGGAGCCAGTACGACTGGCATGTGTGCAATCTAAAACTAACAACTTTTTTTCAGCGGTAGCGTCTATATTCACTTAAAGCAGGAAAGCAAACAGGTTTTCACGAGCACTAACAATAGTGCAACGACGTGAGGCAATATGGATATAACGCCCCTTTCAAAGGAACGAGGATCGCGCATTGTGTAACTGGAGCTGACACATACCTACATGTAGGTCACATCATCTCCGAGCACTATTCACAGGGCATTGTGCACAAGTCACGATGTCTTTATGTACGTTATAGTATGGGGAAACCCATCTACCCGAGTCTGTAGGAAAAACCTCATTACATTTCATGTATTCGTTTTAACCCAGGTGAAGTGAAATGGAGGTCGGCTTGCTCAAAAGTGGCGAGCGGGGCTGTTGTGTTGCGATAGTACGTGGATGTTTATAGATTTGGCATAATCATCATCGTGATCATTATTATTTTTATTATTAACCAAACAAGCGAGTGGTAAATAGCTCAAACAAAGATCAAACCACAGGGGAACCATACAGATCACACTACACAAACACATGCTCCCAATTTGTAAGGGGTCTTGCGAAATACCAATGGACGTATTCAGCACCAGAAAGCAAACTGAGGTCTTACTGGGTAAAGATTAACATAAACAGTGTTGTATTTTAAGGTCAATGCCGAATACATACATGTCTAGGTTCAAGGATGTGAAGCCCTGGTGTCCCCCGCCGTGATATTGCTGGAATATTGGAAAGCGGCGTAAAACCACACTCAGTCAGTCAGTCGAGGTTCAAGGCAGTAAAATCCCTTTAACCCAATGTCCACAATTAATAGAAAACATGTCGAGTTTTAGATGTGCAAATTATATTATACACAAGTTTGCGTAGTGTAGTTTTGCAACAGTGAAATGTTTCAGAATCATGACAAGAAGTTACAAAAGCATTAGAGGTGAATGTTTATGCATCGTTGTCAAATAGTGATGGTACCCCACCGTTTGCACATGTCACAAACACATGCAAATGCAAGTCAATTGTTCTCTTCAACAAACACGGGAACACATCATTTTAGTCACTGATGCGCCAAATTTGGAAATATCCTCCATTTGTCTACCATAAAACGTTTTAGGGGGCTGTCTGATAGCCTAGTGGTTAAAGCGTTCATTCGTCACTCCGAAGACCCGGGTTCGATTCCCGACATGGGTACAATGTGTGAAGCCCATTTCTCTCGTCGCCCGCCGTGATATTGCTGGACTATTGCTAAAAGCGGGGTAAAACCATACTCACTCATGGAACGTTTTGAAAGCTTTACTAATACCTTGAATGCTGTAAACCAGATCAAGCAACTCCCGTTGATAGTGTGTGTGTGTGTGTGTGTGTGTGTGTGTGTGTGTGTGTGTGTGTGTGTGTCTGTGTGTGTGTGTGTGTGTGTGTGTGTGTGTGTGTGTGTGCCACAATCAGCCCATCCACCGTATTGTAGAACGCCTGTCTTTCAAAAGGCCAAAGGTTACTCTTGTTATATACGTTGAGGAAAGCAATGAGCCCGAGGATTATAATCGGGGCCAATATATGATTCGAGTCCACCATCAGCGGATCCTGGTGACCTTCATAACACATGCATAAATTCATATAATAAGTATTTTTATTCAAAACTGATGTAAACACAACCCTCGTGCCTATTTTCCCTTTTGAGCCCATTTATAAATAAATAAAACCCTTTTATAGCCAATAGAAATCTCGGCATTAACCCCATATGGCCCATGTAGGTCAACGTGATCTTCAAGTTCCCAAAATATATGTATTGACTCATAACACATGTTTATGATATAGATACGGATGGGTAGGTACAAGTAGACAACAGGAAGACGATGGAGTTATGTTCTCAGACGATTGGTTGCAGATTATATTTTTTGGCTTGTAAAGCAGACAAGGAAGTTATATCCGACGGTTGACAACACATTTAGGTTTATAAGATCGCTAAAGTTTTTCGAAGCTGTCGCTATTGTGAATAATACAAAACCGGTTGTGGGCCGCACTATGTTGTACTGAAAGCCTCGTACCATCGATACAGACTCTGTTCCCGATGCTATTGTGGAGCGTACACTCCTGTATATGTTGAACGTCTTCTCAGTCTGTGCGGACATGACCAGGTCTTAGCACAGAAGTCGTGATCTAGAGTCCTGCTGGATAACAGGCTATTGTGCAACCGTGTACTCTCTACATGCCCGCCTGAAAAGAATTTGAAGAGTGGCTGGGACACCGATCTAAAGATTGTTTTTACCACATTGTATTTCGTACCCGAACGACTGAAGAAACTTACTGCCCATTCAGACAAGAAGTTGAATGAACGGGTTTCATCATGCGGCTCCCATGAAGCAAGAACATGCTAAATAGACTGCCTATTACAACCTTGGACCTTTTTAAAAGGATGTCACTTCTCAAGGACAACCAGCGTAGACATTGTCGGAATCATAGGACATAGAAACTGCTCCACAAATTACCAACGCGTGGAAAGACCTGAGCTATCACTTGACTATTGCACAGTGTGGAGTCTGAATGTCAACAGTCAGAGAATACTGAAATCAGAAGCAGAATGGCAAAGCAACCAGAGAAGTTGACGTGGCATCCAGGGAGCTATTCCATGAGCTACATCTTAAGGAATCTGAATCCTCCCCAGATCGTCCTGTGTGACCACAGTCGCTGTAAGCCGGGTGACTCGGGGTGTGGGGTCCCGTGCCTCCTGTATAAGGGCACAGATGCACCTGTAGCCCATGGGGTGAGGCTCGCCAAGGGGGGCAAAGGAGGAAAGTTCATGGTGGAGTCCGGAGATCTGATCCAAGTACCAGCGTCTTATGAAGGTTTGTGTTGTTATTTGGGGCGGTCGGGTAGCCTAGTGGTTAAAGCGTTCGCTCGCCACGCCGAAGACCCGGGTTCGATTCCCGACATAGGTACAATGTGTGAAGCCCATTTCTGGTGTCCCCTGCCGTGTTATTGCTGGAGTATTGCTAAAAAAGCGGCGGAAAACCATACTCACTCACTCACTCACTCACATTGTGTTGTTATTCAAGATCTAACTTCAAAGTTGTAAAACAGATTTACCCACTTGTTTTTTAATGTTAGCAAATAACAATGTAACGCTTTCACTGAATGATTGTACAACTGTGACTTTGTTATGAGTGAGGTTGTGAGTGAATTGGTTTTAACGCCTATTTAGACAGTATTCCAGTTATAATACGGCGTGTCAGATTAATGTGGGAGGAAAGCCCCAAGTGATGCATGTCTCAGACGTTTACCAATTTAGTGAAACCCATGAGCACGGGTATACGTATGGTGCTGACAAACCAAGAAACATAACCGTGGTGGACCGGGATTCGAACCCACAAGCATAGGTTTCTGGTGTGCCCAAGTTGACGTAACTCTGCCCCCTTAAACAATAGGAACGGAATGGTCTAGTATAAACAAAGAAAAAAGTGCAGGCCCACTTCTCTTTGCCCCCTCTTTGTTATGAGACCGCCTCCGTGGTCTTGTGGTAGAGCGTCCGCCCGGAGAGCGGAAGGTCCAGGGTTCGATCCCGGGCCGCGTCATACAAAAAGACGTTAAAAGATTGTACTTGTTGTTACCCTGTCTGGCGCTCGGCATTAAGGGGCTAAAACAAGGACTGGTCGGCTCGGAGTCAGTATACTGTGTCTGAGTGGGGTATTCATGTTAAACTGCGGCATGTTATCTCAGTGAGCTAGCACTATAAATCGGCATCAGTCCGGACTAGTACAAGCAGCCACACACACACATACATGTGCATGCACGTCGCTATATAAGTGCAATAATCTTGGACGCGACGTTAAACCCAATGTCACCTCACCTCACTTTGTTATGAAAACCGTCACTTGTTTGTACTTCGTTTACGTATTTTCTTGATTAGATCATAAGACAAAGAAAAGAAGGTTTTCTTAATGTTATACCCAGTCGTCTAAGGCGCCGCGATTCGCTGTGCAGAGTTGCGTCCCTTGGGCACGCCAGAAACCTATGATTGTGGGTTCGAATCCCGGTTCGCCCTGATTATGTTTCTAGGTTTGTCAGCACATACCCGTGCTCGTGGGTTTCACCGAATTGGTAAACGTCTGAGACCTGCATCACTTCGGGCTTTCCTCCCACATTAAGCTGACACGCCGTGATATAACTGGAATACTGTTAAAAGCGGCGCTAAACCCAACTCACTCACTCACTCACTCACTCACTCACTCACTTAATGTTATAATGGAAAAGTCATGTTAAAAATACATTCACGTTTCTATTAACCACAGTAAGTAAGACATGTCATATTGCATCTGCAAATGTGTATTATGTACACCACACACAAAAACTCACATTTTCTCGAATGACACCCAGGCAATCTCCAATTCCTTTTGTCTTAGGTTGGTTTTGTGTGTTTGATGCGAAGACGAGAATGGATAACAACGTCCCCGTGTACCGCAGTGCATCAGCTCTGGCTCAAACTCGCTGTGACACCTTTCTGGTGGGTGGACGTGAAAAACTCCATGTCATGCAGAAGAAGAACGATTATCTTTCCCCGAAACAAGTTTTTCCGTGTGACGTATTGAAAATGGAACGCGTATGTAAGTATGGCAAGAAGACCTATTTGGAATGTCTTGATCGAAAAGGGCGAGACATTCTTATTCCTTTTGAATGCCAATGCTTGTTCTACATCATCACCAGCAAGATAAAGAAGACCAAAGTGTCCGTTTTTCAAATAAAAGACGTATTGAAAAAGATACCATGCATTGTCAAAATCATTGCTGGTCAAGGTTTGGCTAAGAAGGATTCATCCCACGGATGGATGAAACTGACTCATGTAAGTCGAGATCCTCTGATTGTCTGCTCCACAGTCAGCATCCAGAAGAACTCATTATTAGAGATCCCAAAATCATCTCTGCTGAAATTCCATATTGCCACAATGAATATTGGCTGGCGAGAGTATAATGGCTATAAGGATGCTCTTAGTTTGTGTCGGAACGAGGCAGATAAGTTCATGAAGTCCGTCAAGATCCGCAGAGCCCAGGACAGAAGAGACCCTAAAGGCACTGTCTCTGTTCCAGCAGGCTGGAGGGCCCCTAAGAGTGCTGCTCCAAACACCCATCTTGACAGGTCCGTTTCAGCGGGGCCTGGAACTCCCCCGGGTCCTGATATTCGGAAGATTCAACGTGTCTATCCAAGCAGACCATCATTAGAGGGGGCATTCCAACCCTCGCCAATACCCAAAGAGCCTGTCAGTGATGATGAATGGGATTGCAGCTATGACTCTGAGGAGTGGGATGACATCCCAGATATTGCTCCAGAAAGATGTATGAAAGCAACCACTGACGCAGATTATCTGCATCCGATCATCGAATCGCCAAACCCAGAAGGAAACAGTGACTACTTGACGCCAGTTCACGAACCTGTTTCTCAATCAAAGCCACGCCATGTGTCCATCATTAAAGTGTCACAGCCTCCAAAGAAGGATGACAGTAACAGTGCTGTTGTGAGGAACACTGAACAGAAGCCGGTGCCAGTGGAAGGTGCTAGCGGAGGTCAGACAGCAGCTGAGTCTGAAGAATCAGATGATGGACATGACTATGTCAATCTTCAGGAATGGGGTTTAGACAGCGACAGCGACAGCGACAGCGACGGTGACTTCCAGGATGTGAGAAAGCTGTCAATACACAACAATAGTTCTGATTATGAAGTCCCAGTACAGAGAAACACACTGGTGGAAGAGTTCTACTTTGATGGTGGCCACCACAGGATCTACCACCTGCCGAAAGAGTGTCCTCGTGTGTCTGTGGCAGACTCTGGATTCGTAGATGACTTAACTTAAAGTAATAACAAGACTGTGAAATGTATCTTATGTCCCTGAGTATGATTCGTGGGATAGGACATATAACTCATGTCAGACTCTTTTCAGTGGATTCTTAAAACAGTTGTCTCATTGTGTTCAGTACTTTCTTTAGTAGATTGTGTTTAGTAGATACATCAGTAGATTATGTTCAGAAGATACAGCAGTAGATTGTGTTCAGTACATACATCAGTAGATTGTGTTCAGTACATACATCAGTAGATTGTGTTCAGTACATACATCAGTAGATTGTGTTCAGTAGATACATCAGTTGATTGTGTTCAGTAGATACATCAGTTGATTGTGTTCAGTAGATACATCAGTTGATTGTGTTCAGTAGATACATCAGTTGATTGTGTTCAGTACATACATCAGTTGATTGTGTTCAGTACATACATCAGTAGATTGTGTTTAGTACATACATGGACATGGACTGGTGCAGCTTTTTCTCAAACAAGCTGTCTACTGAACTATTTGCCAGAAAACTAGAAAATGTGTAAATTGCATTCATTTTGAAATGAGTGACCGGGTTTTCAGTGTCATGACAATGCCACTGTTTATTGTGATTCAAGAGTCAGACGTTTACCACCATGGCGAAACTTTCGAGCATGTGTACAGACGTACCAAGGACCATTATCGGGACCATCTGGGATCCAAGGCAACGATTATAAGATAATCACACTCCGAAGGGACGCGAATTGTGACAGTGAATTAGTGCGCTTTAGGCCACGGTATGCGTACATTGCATGGCAATGTTATATCCCTTGCATGGATGGTCGGGCCTGCGTCCATAACATGACCTATACAGTCACTTACGATAGGTGCTGAGTTATTGCTTTATATTGTTCCTTTCAGATTCGTGACCTTGTTCGTGTTTTAATAGCAGGGATACGATCATGAAACTATCTTGGCGTTTTAATTTTGCGAAGTCATTGAATTCGATAGCGTTTAAATCAGTATTATTGAAATAGTTATGCGATTGGTAAATAACAGTCCTTTGTAGAGGTGTTTCTTAATGTTCACAAAAAATAATATTATGAGAAATATATCAGAGGAATCAGCTGGTAGAGTATCCCGTGTGTGTGTGTGTGTGTGTGTGTGTGTGTGTGTGTGTGTGTGTGTGTGTGTGTGTGTGTGTGTCTGTGTGTGTGTCTGTGTGTTTATTTGTGTAATCAACTGTAACTATATTCGTAACATTAAGAAATGTACTCAAACATATATAAGTGACAGAAATATATTCCTTGATGTATGAGTTACTAAATGATAAAAAATGTAGCAAATATAATCAAAACTCAAATTGGACTGTGATAATATAAATTGAAACTAATGATGAATGCCTAACCATATAGCATATGGATTTCATGATTGAACACTATTCGCACGATGTACACTACAACCACAGGTCAAGGCAGACCAGGTGACTCTTCAATAGGTTTGCTGAGGATATGAGTTGAGAAGAGGGTTGTTTGATGTAGAGGATGAGAACAGACAAGGATATGTGTTTCTAAACGAATATGGGGGCGGTCGGGTAGCCTAGTGGTTAAAGCGTTCGCTCGTCACGCCGAAGACCCGGGTTCGATTCCCGACATGGGTACAATATGTGAAGCCCATTTCTGGTGTCCCCCGCCGTGATATTGCTGGAATATTGCAAAAAGCGGCGTAAAACCATACTCACTCACTCACTAAACGAATATGCCTTGTGACAATGCAGTAGAAATGTATGTATTCCGTGATATTGGTTATATTGGCATTAGGTAACATTTGGAATCTGCTCAAACTTGTTTATAGACAGCTAAATAAAACTGCCGGGCAACGGAAAGTATACACATGAAATTGGATGTGACCAAAAATTACAAACGTAATCAAAACGTTACTAGCCTTAAAACAGTCGGAAACACTGCAAACTTAAGGTCCTAAACACAGATGTGATACTCGTATCAAATACATCACCATCGAATAACCGTTGTTTGTTTCTTTTTATTTTAACAACCATCAACCATTGGTTCTTTTGGCTGCAGTTTATTATCATCATCATATTTTATTATCATCATATCTTATTATCATATGTTATTATCATCATGCAGCTGCAACATCGGTAATCCGGTTGATACCATTAACAATAAAATTGGTGTTTGTGCGTCTCCTTTTGTATATTGATCTGGTCGCCCTTCGACTGACTCATCTGGTGAGCCTGCCTAGTGAGTTATAAAGAATATGTGTCTCGTAAACATGTGTAGACGTGGGTGAAGACGTAACTCATATTTTGGTCGAGTGGCCAAAATCATGAGCCTCGTGAACTTGGCTGATTACGTGTCATTGTGTCCTGATGACGTGGACCGTTGCTCATTCTATCAATCACTGTTTTGGGAACGTGTAGCTATGGAGGCGGATATGTGGCAGACAGGACAGCAACAGACAATGCCTATATTTAGAACCGACTAAAATGGAACGTGGGTGAATATGGTTTTACGCCGCTTTAATCAATTCCAGCAATATCGCGGCGGGGAGACCTATGATTATGTGCCCCTGACATAGTGGTTAGTGTGTTTTTGCCTTAATTGTGTGAGTTTTGAAATAGATTCCATCATATTTGAAAAGTTGTTGTTCTGATATCGAACGTATACAACATTCTAATATGTTACCGGCAGCCATTATTAAATGCATCGATACTAAGTCTGTCAGATGGGTGTTTTCACAAGCACGTCGTGTGTGAGGTCTAATTTAATGAGGTATTCATGAGAAAAAAGGATACCTTTTTTAACCAATCAGAATCAAGTATTCTTCAATGTCAGGGTAGAATTCATTGTCAACACAGCCTCGTCCAGGAAGTAAGGGCCGCTCCAACTGCTCTCATGTTTCAGTTGCTACTATGTGTGTGCACTATTGTGTTAAAGATTGGCCGTACAGATTAGTCATGGACAGTGCTGAAGTAGGTCAGGCGAGAAGGTCAGACAACAAAACAGGAAGTATGTCTCCTTGCATGTGCTTCTGTGTTTAGGATAGAACGTGGTTTTACATGATTGACCTTCCAGTGGAGATCCCAGGGAAGAATATGGCCCCAATATCCAACAGTATGCAAGCATTAATCACGTGACTGTGTGTAAATTCGTATCAGGAATATTCGAATCAGTTATACTGCTTCCTACTAGCCTCTATAAGTATCGGTGATAATGCTTCCTACTAGCTCCTGTAAGTATCAGTTATACTGCTTCCTACTCGCCCCTATTGGTATCAGTTATACTGCTTCCTACTAGTCCCTATAACTAACAGTTATTCTGCTCCTGCTAGTCTCTATTACTATCAGTTATACTGCTTCCTGCTAATCTCTATACAATCAGTTATACTGCTTCCTACTAGCCTCTATAAGTTTCAGTTATGCTGCTTCCTACTAGCCTCTATAAGTTTCAGTTATGCTGCTTCCTACTAGCCTCTATAAGTATCAGCAATACTGCTTCTACTAGCTTCTATAAGTTTCAGTTATACTGCTTCCTACTAGCCTCTATTTAGGTATCAGTTTTACTGCTTCCTACTAGCCTCTATAACTATCAGTTAAACTGCTTCCTACTAGCATCTATAAGTATCAGCAATACTGCTTCATACTAGCCTTTATAAGAATCAGTTATACTGATTCCTACTAGCCCTCTAACTATCAGTTAAACTGCTTCCTACTAGGATCTGTAAGTATCAGGTACTTTTCTCCCTGCTAGCCTGTCACGATATGAGCTATAGTGATTCCTGCATTCCTTTCATTACATATAACCCCTTACTAGTCTATATTTGTATCAGGTACATTTCTTCCTAAAAGCCCCTGTTCGCATCAGGGACATATCACTTCCTTCTATTCCCTCATAGTATCAAGTAAACTATTTAATGCTCTGCTCTATTGGTGTGGGACAGACTACGTCCTTCTATTCCCTCATAGTATCAAGTAAACTATTTAATGCTCTGCTCTATTGGTGTGGGACAGACTACGTCCTTCTATTCCCTCATAGTATCAAGTAAACTATTTAATGCTCTGCTCTATTGGTGTGGGACAGACTACGTACTTCTATTCCCTCATAGTATCAAGTAAACTATTTAATGCTCTGCTCTATTGGTGTGGGACAGACTACGTCCTTCTATTCCCTCATAGTATCAAGTAAACTATTTAATGCTCTGCTCTATTGGTGTGGGACAGACTACGTCCTTCTATTCCCTCATAGTATCAAGTAAACTATTTAATGCTCTGCTCTATTGGTGTGGGACAGACTACGTACTTCTATTCCCTCAAAGTATCAAGTAAACTATTTAATGCTCTGCTCTATTGGTGTGGGACAGACTACGTCCTTCTATTCCCTCATAGTATCAAGTAAACTATTTAATGCTCTGCTCTATTGGTGTGGGACAGACTACGTACTTCTATTCCCTCAAAGTATCAAGTAAACTATTTTATGCTCTGCTCTATTGGTGTGGGACATACCACGTCATTCTATTCCCTCAAATATCAAGTAAACTATGTTATGCTCTGCTCTATTGGTGTGGGACATACCACGTTCTTCTATTCCCTCATAGTATCAAGTAAACTATTTAATGCTATGTTCTATTGGTGTGGGACATACCACGTTCTTCTATTCCCTCATAGTATCAAGTAAACTATTTAATGCTCTGCTCTATTGGTGTGGGACATATCACGTTCTTCTATTCCCTCATAGTATCAAGTAAACTATTTAATGCTCTGCTCTATTGGTGTGGGACATACCACGTCCTTCTATTCCCTCATAGTATCAAGTAAACTATTTAATGCTCTGCTCTATTGGTGTGGGACAGACTACGTACTTCTATTCCCTCATAGTATCAAGTAAACTATTTAATGCTCTGCTCTATTGGTGTGGGACATACCACGTCCTTCTATTCCCTCATAGTATCAAGTAAACTATCTAATGCTCTGCTCTATTGGTGTGGGACATACCACGTCCTTCTATTCCCTCATAGTATCAAGTAAACTATCTAATGCTCTGCTCTATTGGTGTGGGACATACAAAGTCCTTCTATTCCCTCAAAGTATCAAGTAAACTATTTAATGCTCTGCTCTATTGGTGTGGGACATACCACGTCATTCTATTCCCTCAAATATCAAGTAAACTATGTTATGCTCTGCTCTATTGGTGTGGGACAGACTACGTACTTCTATTCCCTCATAGTATTAAGTAAACTATTTAATGCTCTGCTCTATTGGTGTGGGACAGACTACGTCCTTCTATTCCCTCAAATATCAAGTAAACTATGTTATGCTCTGCTCTATTGGTGTGGGACAGACTACGTACTTCTATTCCCTCATAGTATTAAGTAAACTATTTAATGCTCTGCTCTATTGGTGTGGGACAGACTACGTCCTTCTATTCCCTCATAGTATCAAGTAAACTATTCAATGCTCTGCTCTATTGGTGTGGGGCATATTACATCCTTCTAGCCTCTTGTCGTATCAAGTATTAATGTCCTACTAGCCTCTATTTGTATGTGGCATACTACCTCATTGTACCCTCTCATAGTATCAAGTAAACTATTTAATGCTATGTTCTATTGGTATGGGGCATATTACATCCTTCTAGCCTCTTGTCGTATCAAGTATTAATGTCCTACTAGCCTCTACTTGTATGAGACATACTACGTCATTGTACCCTCTTATAGTATCAAGTAAACAATTTAATGCTAGTCTCTATTGGTATGGGATAAACTACGCCCTTCTAGCCTCTCATAGTATCAAGTATTAATTTCCTACTAGCCTCCATGTGTATGAGGCATACTACTTCCTTGTATTCTCTCATAGTATCAAGTATTAATTGTCCTACAAGCCTCTATAGGTATGGGACACACAACTTCCTTGTAGTCTCTAATACCACCGAGTATTAAATGTCCAAAAAGGCTCTATCATTCATCTGTAAATATTTTTCCATCAGCCTACATTGTCATACATGTGGTGTCTCTACCTGTTACACGAACATGAAAACTATATGGTCCTGACATATCTCATAGTTTATTGTCATGTGTTAACATGTAGGTTGCAGGCATGTCATGACTAACCGATCAAAGAATTTAGGCTATATACAACCCCCGTTGTGAACCGCTGTTATCTCAAGCATTATCGAGACTTGGCCAAACCCGTTTACTGCGTAAGACCCACTTGGTTATCAAATTTCAAAGCGATTTAACTTATATATCTATCCACGTTAAGGGTCCTATATTCTTAACTGCAAGCCCCGATAGAGAAGCTCGTGATGTGGTCGAACTGTCGAGCGTGACAGTCGTCCGAGGGCAACCCAACCAGGAACAAAATCGCGTCCCTCTCTCAATATGTATGCATGTGTCATATATAGCACTTCTATACGACTAAGAAAGTTGCGACTGTGTATTGGTAAAGGCTTGACCCTATGTTGCTATGAAGTCTAATATAAAATATAAATAGAGATCAGTTTTAATACAGGCACTTATGAATATTTGAAGGAAGCCCTCACGTCTGTAAGGCCTCGCTCATAACTAGGACAGGATGTGATATAGCACAATGAGAGAGAAGTCCCTATGTCAGTAGGATGGATGTCCCATATGATCTTCTTGATTGAATCTAGAACAAGAAAGGATCAAGCATGATGCTACCAATACCCGGTATCGGGATGTGCTTCCTGATGCAGGACCTTTATATATTTACAACAGTGGAAATCCGACACTGCGTGCCTTGTGACGCAGCTTGAGGATTCTATACTAGACACAAATCATACTTATCATACGGTGCGAGGGTGTATAAAGACGATGCTCCTGTGGTACAGCTGGAAATCAATCGTAAGATTTGGAGGTTCAAAAGGGTTAGTCAATATGCGGATTTAATCGATTGGACAAAGCAGATTTATGAACATGCTTGATATAAATACACGAGTGGGGAAGTACGGTACATCGACAACAGTAACAAGGTCGGCAAACTGAGCCTGTGTTGTGTCTGAGGTGTTCACGTTGTCTCGGCTCTCAAAATGCCTAGAAAGGCTCCAAGGGTCCAAGAACCTGAAACTGTCGCCAGGCCGAACCTTCAATGGGAGGTTGGGGCACATTCCTTGGAGGACATTCTACAGAAGTACCCACTCCCTCGTGTGGTGCAGTGTGCCTATACACTCAATGATGACATATCCACGGAACAATCCAACTTTGATTTTCTTCAGCCCATGTTGTTGCACCAGAAGCGTGTGTGTAACAAGGTGACAGCAACCAGTCTCAATACTGATCCTCAAACTGGACACACGGTGGAGGTCGGGGCACCCCTACTCATACCTGAAGATTACAAAGGTAAGTAAACAGGGCGAGTGAGTGAAAGGTTTGGCTGATATCTTCCATAGTCACATAGACGAGACTAGGTTCTAAGACGACGGTTGTGTCCGTTAGCTACAGACACATCCACAGTCAACCAGACGGTTTTCTTGGACAGTCATTTCAACACGTCTAATAATCCGACATGTTTTCCTCCAAGACAATGACATATGTGAGGGAGTTGGGTTTTGCGCCGCTTTTAACAATACTCGAGCAATATTTTGAATCGAGAAATAACTGGGTTTCACACATAATACCCATGTGGTGAATGGAAACCAGGCCTTTGGCGCGACGAGCGAACGCTTGAACCACTAGGCTATCAAATCGCCCCCATTGTTTAGGTGACATCGCCACACGTTTGCCAACACCGTTTACTCCTCATTTCATAAGGATGATGGTCATATTAACGATATGATGGAAATAGATACGTTAGAAATCTCATCCATCATCGACTGATGTCTCTTTAGTTTCATATATACTACTCAAAAAGTTAATGATTACTCAATTCATGTATATTACTATAGTTAATCTGTTATGCAATAACTATAGTATTATGAAAGCATCGGGTGTTCTTTAATTTACTTCTTTTGTAAGGGAAATGTACAGTTCACGTTAAGGGGCTTTTTTCTTATTGAGCGTTAATTGGTTATGAATGAAAATGAGACTAATATTAACAATATGATTTTAGGAATTGTATTGAGTTAACAACAATAATTTAAAAACAAATTGTCTTTGGTTGTTGGTTTTGTTGTTGTTGTTTGGCAGGTCTCATACTTATATACAGTAAACTACGGTTATAACGAACACGCTTATAACGAACTAACGGATGTAACGAACTAACTTTTTAGTCCGGACTATATGCTGTAGTTATGCTGTATATATGCTTATAACGAACTACGGTTATAACGAACTAAAATTAGTCCATTTGAGTTCGTTATAACCGTAGTTTACTGTACATGTATAAAAAGAGGAAACAGTGAGTTAATCTAGTAGCAGTACCACAAGGTCAACGAACGAGATTTCTTCCGTCCTGAGTTTCAGTGTACGTGTTTGGAGTTTTGGTTTCCTTAAACAATATCACAGGCAACAATGTATGTCTCGCGCCTTCTCCAATTGTCCCCATTGTAATCAAAAACGGTGGAATGTAAAATTAATATGGCTCACGGCACACGCGCCCTGTTGGGATTCAGGGTTAGAACTGGTCACCAGCCATCTATGCTCGTCGCAAGAGACAACTGAATGTACCGTGTGGTCAGCTTCGGTGTTATTCCTGAATGCGTGCTATCCTAACCCGAAAGCGTGAATCATTTATATATATAATTAAATAAGTGGAGTAAGATTGAACACATTTTAATAGGCCAAATTTTTAACAGTTTTAAATTGAGCCCTGCTGTCTGTATGTAAAGCCATCTGGACTAGACAATCCAGTGAGAAATGATTCACGCTTCCAGGTTAGGATAGCACGCATTCAGGAATAACACTGAAGCTGATATATAAATAAATAAATGAATATATATTATTTTTATATATATATTAGTCTGCTTAAAATGCTGTTTTCAGTCACAAATTAACATAAGGGAGGCGTGGCACTTCTTGACTATTTTCTCTATGTACATGACGCCTGTATTCGATCATTGAACACAGAGTTGTACGCAGGTACGCAAGTTAATGAGGCTGCATTGGCAATTAGGCATAATGTTATACTATTCGTTTTGAACGAATTATTCATGCGTATCTGTACGCAGGCAATTCACAACCAATCGGTTTATATCTTATCCGGAGCTCTGGAATCTGGAATAATGCTGGGTGCGGCGTAAAATTACAAACACACTTGGGCCTCATCTTCAGATAAATAGGGCTGCTAAAGTCTGACTTTGTTTGATTCCCATCATGTCATAATGATCAAATGTTGTAAGATGTTTGTTTCTGACACACACAAACTAACGAGGCACTGTCTGTTTTGTTTGACATTAAGGGCAACTTGACGATTGGTAATTTACAGTCATAAATCACTTTTGGTCGTAAATATTTTTAAATACAATTGCTCCAACAAACAAATTATCCAAGTGAGACTCGTGAGAATTCCACACACAGTGGAATCTGTCTACATCGGACTTACGGCCTAATCAGACATGTCAGTCCGTCTTATAAATCCAATTCTGCAAGAATTTTGTCTCTTATTGTCGGGAAAAAGCTAATGTGACTTGGAAAAATTAACGTAATAAAATTTGGATTGTAAATGTGGTCCGGTATTGCCAGAGTTCTGTTTAGGCAGATGCCACTGTATGTAACTTGGTCGATGTGATTGGTCTATGAGTAGATGGATGAACGAACATCCCTACTGACCCTTAATGCCCAGCGCCAGGCAGGGTAACAACAAATACATTTTTTGACGCGACCAGGGGAACCACCGACCTTCCAGTCTCCGGGCATATTCACTCACTAAATCACGGCGGCCACAACAATGTAAAACGACTTGATGTGGCGTGTATATATTTAACCACAGAGATATCAAAAGAAACTGTAGAGGTTTATAGTGTTATGTGCAGGGTTTTCAAGGAGATTTAAGTGCACACCTTCCTGTTAAATATTACAATGCACACTTCACACTCGTCTTTTTTTTATGAAGGAGCCGATGAGTGACACTCTTCGTCGCTGTGTCAGTCGACATTAAACCCCCCTTTCACCTCACTGTAAAACTCCGTCGTTGTTGAATACATAACAACATGGATATCCATTTACCATAAAAAGACATTTCTTTGCGACCAGGAAGAAAATCGCTCATCCAACACTTGAGTCAAATTAATAGGTGAAACGTGTAAAATTTTCCAAAGTAATTATTCATACAACACTGAACGTACAGTGAACTAAAGGACAATTATTTTGCATCAGGTGCTCGCGCAGGAGAGAAACACTCTGTGTTTTCAACATAGAGCCAAGTAGATTTAACCGCGCTAAAATAAAGTTTGAACCGAACGCGCAACTCTACATTGAAAACCTTCTCCCAATGGTGACAGTCTGATCGTGTAGAACTTGAATGAAAACAGAGCATGTCCAACGTTGTACAATTCACGTCCGTCAAATTGCATACGTCAAACATTGTATATTGTTCACAACTAGTAGTACCGTGTGGTTGCCCCTCATATGCATCTCTTGGGCGTGCCAGGAAACATGGACCTAGATTCCCCCTGATAATGTTTGTAGGTTTGTCATCATCATATCAGTGATCTTGGATTTCACCAAAGTGGTAAACGCCTGATTATTATACGACCTGCATCACGTCGGGTTTGTCTAACAACTCAAGCTGACACGCTGTGATAAAACTGAATTTATGTTCCAAGCGGAGTCAAACCAAAATTCACTCATAGCATATGACTAAGCAATCAAACGATAATCTGTGGCGGGGATCATGAAGTAAATGCAGTGCAGATTAACAGACAACAATCTTCCCCTCAACAAAGAGTTCTCTATCCTGGCGATGTTCTCAGAATGGGCAACTTGTACGTGGCCACAAGCAAAGTGAAAAAGTCCATATTTTCAAAATCCGTTACACGTGAGGAGAGATTTCTATTATGCACAGACCTGACCGACAGAGAGGTGATGCTTCCTATCAACGCTACGGGTGTTTTCTACGTACAGTGAACTAAAGGACAATTATTTTGCATTATTTTGCATCAGGTGCTCGCGCAGGAGAGAAACACTCTGTGTTTTCAACATAGAGCCAAGTAGATTTAACCGCGCTAAAATAAAGTTTGAACCGAACGCGCAACTCTACATTGAAAACCTTCTCCCAATGGTGACAGTCTGATCGTGTAGAACTTGAATGAAAACAGAGCATGTCCAACGTTGTACAATTCACGTCCGTCAAATTGCATACGTCAAACATTGTATATTGTTCACAACTAGTAGTACCGTGTGGTTGCCCCTCATATGCATCTCTTGGGCGTGCCAGGAAACATGGACCTAGATTCCCCCTGATAATGTTTGTAGGTTTGTCATCATCATATCAGTGATCTTGGATTTCACCAAAGTGGTAAACGCCTGATTATTATACGACCTGCATCACGTCGGGTTTGTCTAACAACTCAAGCTGACACGCTGTGATAAAACTGAATTTATGTTCCAAGCGGAGTCAAACCAAAATTCACTCATAGCATATGACTAAGCAATCAAACGATAATCTGTGTGCTCTATGATCATGGCGTTACCTGTCTAGATTTAAAACATAAGACAAAACTTGCTTGGCTAGGCAATAAAATAAAGTCAGTAACTGAGTCATAAACTTTACCAGAGTTATTTTACCCAGATAAGGGAGGTTTTTTATAAGATAAGAAGGCGTATAAAGTCTACGGGATCTGCCCGTTATGTCGAATAGTCTTCGTGATAACCAGAGTAGTTTCGAGAGAGAGAGAGAGAGAGAGAGAGAGAGAGAGAGAGAGAGAGAGAGAGAGAGAGAGAGAGAGAGAGAGAGAGTTTTCATGAATATCGTTATATCGTCCTGTTATTGCCGACGGATACAGGAAGTTTGAAAGTGAGTGAGTTAGGGGGTGAATTGGGGGTGAATAGCTGCGGGTCTTATGTTAATTAAAACTTTAAATCACAATTTATAGTTTTCAAACGGAAGGGTAGGGTTCCCCTGCAGATAACATGGAAGCCAATTGGGATCCACCCAGACATGAGCTGGTCGCCTCTGTAAGTTAAAAACGGTCATTACAAGTTAGATGATAGGTGCCTTGTCCCGAGCTCTAGAATGAGTGAGTTGAGTTTAACTCCGCTGTATGTTACAGCATAGAGTAACGTCGCAATGATGAAAAAAGCCAAACTTTCACAATTCAAGATTACCAAGTGAGTTCATAACATTACAGTTGGTTTGTTGGTTTATTGTTAAGGCCGCACCCGCACATGCAAAGGAAAGTCAATTGTTCACCTGAAATACAAAGACGGGAACATATGTTCCTCCACACCATTACTCATGCACTCTCATGCATTTGCTGAACTGCCATTAGTCTAGGTTTTCTAAAAACATAATTCGAAATCGTCATGTAGCTTACCCAAGTAAACATGAATATATATTTGTTCTTCAGTACATTTGATAACGACAACATTTCCTTTGCCTTCACAGGATGGTTTGCGGTCAAATTCACGTCCTGTGACAAGCCTATTCCCCACTACCGCAAGGTGGCGAACCTTGCTTCCTCAGACTGCGACACGTTTCTGATTGGCGGGGATCATGAAGTAAATGCAGTGCAGATTAACAGACAACAATCTTCCCCTCAACAAAGAGTTCTCTATCCTGGCGATGTTCTCAGAATGGGCAACTTGTACGTGGCCACAAGCAAAGTGAAAAAGTCCATATTTTCAAAATCCGTTACACGTGAGGAGAGATTTCTATTATGCACAGACCTGACCGACAGAGAGGTGATGCTTCCTATCAACGCTACGGGTGTTTTCTATATCCTGAAGCACAAGACAACTCAAAAACAGACCATAATGCAGGTTAAAGATATCATCGCCAAAGATCAATTACCCTGTAAGGTCAAGCTGGTATTTGGACGGGTTCCGCCGACTCCATGTATATTTACTGGGGTTTTGAATTTAAACGAATTTCATCTCGAAACCTCAGCCATCGTGTCTTCAGTTTTCAACCTAAGGAATATACTTCTGGAGATTCCAACTACCATTCCTCTGATGTTCAGAGTGGCTAAGCCTGACACTTCCCTTTTAAACAGCAGTGGGTATAAGCGTGCGATGGGTCTGTGCCAAAATAATGCAGAAATGTATATGAGGAATATTAAAGCAGCTCAGGGTTTGCCAAAAGAAGTGAACAGACACCAGACTACACCTCCGGCGCGTCGAGATAAACAAACCAATGAAACGACCGCCGACTCGAAACCTAATGCTGCTGTCAATATGGATTTCAAAAGAAACGAAAAGAAATCCGCATCACCGGTAGAGGTCAAGTCTCTTCCCCGAGTCCTTCCAAAACCATTGAATCTTACTGGAAGTATGCCTGACACTGAAGCAGATGATAACGTGACCCCCGACGTTCCACCTAGAACACCACTAAAACCAACAAAGCTGCCCTCTTTTAGCCCCCAACAACATGGAGTAGTGAATCTAGGAACATCAGTTGGATTTGGCACAGCGCCTAGGTTAGTAGTTAGATCATCACAAAAAGTCAGGCCACCTGCTCCGCCACCTGCCTCTAACAAACCAAAACAAGAGATCTATGAGTCTGTGTGGATTGAACCAAAATCTAGTGCATCGCCGCCTACTCCACCCAAATGTGTTCCTTCTGGATATATTCATCCAAAACCACCTCAAAAGGTTCAAACAAAGAATACAATAAGAATAAGTACCAATCATGGCTATCTGACTGTCCCAATGTATTTGAATGACAATGATTCAGATCCTGAAGAGGTCATCAACCTGGCAGACAAGATTAATTTTTGGCAGCGTATAACCACATCTGACCTAGATGGTTCCAGTGTGGACCCATTGAATCCTTGGGATGATGACATTGGAGCAGGAAGGGGAGGTGGTTTCACATACTCTGAAACAGGTGGCCCGACAAAACGTGACGATGCATCAATGCTTCCAGCAAAGCAACAAGAGAATGTGATGGTGTATGAAAACATACATTCCCTCAGGCAACTTAAATCGGGAAACAGTGGAAGTGTTGCAGAAGCTCTGGCTTGCCCTTCCTCTCATTCTGAGCCTTTTGACGATGATGTCAATGTCACAGACTATGAGATGCCTGATAGGCCAAAAACAAGTCTATATGAAGATGATGGATCCAGTAATAAGTGGAAGAAGAATCAGACTGGTGGTCCTCCTGCTCCTCCTCCCAAGCCAACGAAAAAGGAGGCCATAGCATCCTACACTCAGGAAAAACACCAATTACCAACAGAAGAAGATGTGATTTATGAATCTCCTGATGAAAGAAAACTTGTTACTGCTTCACATATTTCAAAAAATAAATTTCACCAAAGACATGACATTTACGAACCTGTTGACAAATTTGGGCAGAAAGAAATTACTTTCCAACCTTCACATTTGAGTTCCAGCACAGATGATGTGGTGTATGAATCTCCTGATGATCGTTATCATTTGGAGCAGATGCCAAGTCCATCAACACCACACGCGATGGAGGATGTTATTTATGAACCTTCTGACAACAGGAGGCAAGGAATGTGTGATTCTCCGTGCGCGGACTCTGGTATCGGCATAACGGATGAAGGGGCAGATGGCAGCTCTACTATTGTTGCAATGTCCGCAGCAGAAGTCAATGACAAGTTAAGGCAAGCAGGTGGCATCAAGCAGAAAACATTGGCCCTACTGTTAAACAATAACATAGATGGTCGTCAACTGTTTGACATGGGTGAAAATGGTTTGCAGTTGAAATTTCCTTCCATTTCAAACATTGAAAAAAGAATGATCAATTTGTTTATACATGGCTGTCAATCTGGAGTGTTTAAATTGTGACATCACTCTTTGACATGTTCCGTTGCCCAGTATTTAATAGATATACATAGAGTCCCAACTTGAAGTAATAGACACACAACACAACACAACACAGCACTATACAGATAATGGGACATTCATACGATGCTTTATTCCGAGTGCTCAAATTCTTGTTCATTTGAACATTCATTCTGAAGACTCAGGGTGGAATACTACAATCTGTGCAGTGTGACAAGCCCCTTTGTGGTGTACCCCGTGATACTGCTGAAATATTCTGCCGACCAAAAAATATGTATACACCCGTGTTTGATTGTGGCTAAAAATGAAACAAACAAGAATGTTTTTTGGATGGCGATACACTTGATACAGGCATCTTAATTCACTTGTGCTTTGGACCTTAGGTTTGCCGTGTTTCGGCGACTGTTTTCAGCCTGGTCATCCGATTTCCTATTGTATACTTTCTTTTGCAGTTTAGTTCACTTACACATTTATTCACATCTCCTCCATCCCCACGAATACAATAAAATATCGATGTATTAAATAAAAACGACAAACCCCTTTCCATATTCATTAGAAGACTCTGCCAAAATTCTATTGTACGATTTCCACCATATATCACGAGAATGTGTTTATGAATCACCATCAAATAATGATGTCACAGGTGTTTGCGAAAAGGTGAGCTAACCCTGTTTCATAGGTGGCACCCGTCACAAACAAATTGCAAAAGTAAGTCAATTGTTCACTGGAGAATTTGTTTTTAGAATTTCTCGTATTTTTGCTGGCTATCATTTGTTTCTTAAAATGGCGAAATTATGGTTCAATTTATTTCAGTTATTAAAATATTTGTTGTATATTTATTCATGTTACGTTTTTATAGATTATAATTAATTGGCATTGGCAACATGAACAGGACAGGAACTCCTAGCTATCAACCCGTAAAACCATTTGATGAGTGAATGTTGTTTTACTACACAGTTAGGAATACAACTGCAATTCGCGATCTCCTCTATTACGATCATTTAAGCCTGTGAAGCTGTTGTATCTAAATTAATACATTACCTTTAGGGCTGTTGTATTTAACAAGAATATTTGCCTAAATATTGTTTACTATTTGTAATGACATCCATACATTTCACTGTATTGGTTGCTTTAAGATTTATTGAATTATTTTGGTAATCTTGTTTTAATGTACATGTATGTGCATTAATATGTTTGTGGACGAATAAGAGATATCAAGATATGGACTGTTGTTTAACTGGAGAATATTCATTGAAATCAAGCGCACTGGTTACCTCGATATTCACATGATTTGTTAAATTAATGGTGATAAAATTAGTTCTTATCGTATTTAGTTTTTCATTTTTTCATTGTTACAACAATGTTTGAACAACATTTTTTTCAGTTCTAACACAGAGTGTTATTGATATCGAAGCATTAACCTGGATGTGAAGCATGTCTTTGACGTTTAATACTTTGTGAAACGCACGAGCACGGGTATGTTGATAACAAACCTAGAAATTCGAACCAACAGTCATATACATTGTATATGTTTCTGGCACACAACTCCGCCTTTGGCAACTGGGCCACAATAACGGGACACAGTGAGTCCCAGAGTCTGACCACCCGATGCTCCACAAGACGTTTGACAATAGGGATGACTTCAACTTTAAAAATGTCAACCTTCCCTTTATAACGAGTAATATTCCATCATCTCCAGCCTCTGGTGTTTACTTTATACAACTATTGAGGTACAATAGCGCATGCTCTTTCTACGAAGATTTCAAAGGGCGTTATAGGGAGATGATAGTGATGATAATAGGTGTTCGCGAAAAGGTGAGCGAGGGGCCAAGTCGTCTAAGGCTGTCAGAGTTGCGTCTCTCTGGCGCGCCAGAAACCTATGATTGTGGGTTCGAATCCCGGTTATGTTTCTAGGTTTGTCAGCACCATACCCGTGCTCGTGGGTTTCACCGAAGTGGTAAACATCTGAGACCTGCATCACTACGGGTTTTCCTCCCACATTAAGCTGACACGCCGCGATATAACTGCAATACTACGAGCGGCGTTAAACCAAAACTCACTCACACACCCCAAAACATGGTGTCATAAAAAATCTTCATATAGGCTTGGTGCTTTCTCTAGCATATGAATGAAAGTAATAGCGGTACGAATAAATACAAATATTCCTCGTTTAGATTAATTTGAGTTTGACTTAATGTTTAAATGAGTGAATAATTCAAACCTTAATCATTTGCAATCCTGTCATTTTTTTAATTTGTTAGGAAAAGTATTAAAGTTGAGAGTCTAACAAGAACTGTGCAACACAGTTTATGGACATTGCCACCAAAATACATGGCAGATACATTATCAAAGTAGAGTCACGTGTAAGTAGACAGAGTCACGTGGAAGTAGGCAGAGTCACGTGAAAGTATACAGTCACGTGTAAGTATGACCAGCTCTTGAAGGAGGTGAGGTGAAATGGGGTTTAACGTCGCGTCCAAGATTATTGCACTTATATAGCGACGTGCATGTAGGTGTGTGTGTGCTTGTGCTAGTCCTGACTCATACCGATTTATAGTGCTAGCTCACTGAGATACCATGCCGCAGTTTAACATGAACACCCCACTCAGACACAGAATACTGACTCCGAGCCGACCAGTCCTTGTTTTAGCCCCTGAATGCAGAGCGTCAGACAGGGTAACAACAACGTCTTTTGTTATTACGCGGCCGGGGATCGAACCCCGGACCTTCCGCTCTCCGGGCGGACGCTCTACCACTAGACCACGGAGGCGGTCGCTCTTGAAGGAGCATGTGAGGATGAAATTAGGGTTATCTACGTTCGCCTTCAGATTATACTCGATTTGGTTGTGTCAATGCCAGATGAACGAAGTTGCAAGATTGTTGATACGGCGTTAAAAAATAATCACTCACTCATTCAAATGTCATATTCCTGTTAAGGTCATGTAGTTTCGCGTCCATGTTTGATATGGATAAGAAAGAGATCCGTGATGACAAAGAAATGAATATTAGAAAAAGGCTCCAGCCCATGTTCTTTGTGGAGGAACTACAACGGAGGATGGCTACAAGAGGGATATCATATTCTGTAAAGCCTGTAAATTGTCTGAATTTCAGAAGGCAAGGTATGCAACCATTATATAACCGTAATAAACGTCAGTTGAACACTGCTTCCATTGCTTCCACTGGCAATGCATGCGTGTCTTATGACAGATAGTGAGTGAGTGCGTGAGTTGGGTTTAACGCCGCTTTTAACAGTATTACAGTTATATCACGGTGTGTCAGCTTAATGTGGGAGGAAAGCCCTAAGTGATGCAGGCCTCAGACGTTTACCACTTCGGTGAAACCCACGAGCACGGGTATAGTACCGACAAACCTAGAACCGCAATCGGGGCGAACGGGATAAAACCCACATCCATAGGTTTCTGGCGTGTCCAAGGGACACAACTCTGCACAGCGAATCGCGGCGCCTTAGACGACTGTGCCACCCGTGCACCCTAATGACTAATACTGTTTGAGATACATTAATAAAATAACAAAAGAACACAAAACGTCATTTCAACTAATAGTATTAAATGCAATAATACTGCTTTGGCTCAACGAAAAGCAAATACATTAAGGGAGGTGTCCATGTAAAAATAACAAATAGTTAGTACCATTATGTACTCAGAATAAATAGTTTCTTAATGTGATGATAAGCCAGCTATAAATTATATTTTTCTCTTATCTTCTCATAACTATCTATTACCACAAAAATTAGTAGAAGATATTGATTGACACAAATAGCGAGTGAGTTGGGCTCATCTTCTTGAGGCAAGGGATTTAACTGACTGTAAAAGTCCAGATTCCATCCTTGCCCCCTGGACAAAAGCATTTCTCATTTGTACTTCAGAACTTTGAAAGTAGCCTGTACTCGTATGTAGGTCACGGGACTGCTCGAGACCTTACGTTGTTCCGGTGACAAACAGCTTTTCACGGCAATGGCGATAGCAGTGTTACGTCGGACAAAGCCTGGGTAGTCATATTCGGTACACGTTAGTGTAATTTAGAAAACCATCACAGGCATTAAAACACTTTAATTAGATAGCATGAATAGCAAGTACATGCTTGTCAAAGCAGTTGCAGTGTTGACAAGACGTCCTATGTCACATTGGCCGCTACCAATTCATGAATTGAGGTAAATTTTCACTTTTCTACCACTTCTGATAGGCTGGTATAATTGTCATTGTCGATAAGTCAATACTCATCGGTATCATCACACGTTCAGTGATGGTGGCGTAGACATTTGAGCAGAAACAGTCGTTCTGTGACGCGTTTGTTTTCATTTTGTAGTTATTCATTGTCAAAAAGAAAGAAGGAATTGTCCATTAACTTAATATGCTCCCCGTTTATGCGTCAAACAATGTTATGGCAAATTTCCATAACGTCTATCCTGAGCCTTTTCCAATATTATGAATGTTCAGAACTAAGGGGAGATGACACAAACTATGGTCACAAGCAGGCCCGTTACGTGCATGTTTACAATGTAAATTGTTTTGAATCTTTGTCAATACTTGTAAATATCTCCAAGTAATCGTGTTGCACAAAGATACTTGTTGGGGTACCTGTGTTAATAAGAAAAGATATGTGCAAATATCATGATGATAATATCATGTGTACTGAAAAATCAGGTTTATTCACGAAAACCCACTCATCTAATTTGTAAATAATGATGATTAAATCCTCGCAATGTTTGTTTTAACGATCTCTGAAAAGTGACCTCACTGAAATGTGATCTACATTCTGTATGATGTAAATAAACTTGATCATAGCATCCCCATTTACCATTTGTCTAGCATATTGAGTTGAAGCTAAAATCTACGAAATCTCGCATATGCCTAATTTAACAGATATATCTTGATGTAAGCATCGTAAGGAATTGTTGGTATTTGTTATGTGTTCTCATAAGTGGTACTGATCTTTTGTAGTTGATCTGATTTCCTCGTTTGAGGGGAGAAAGATTTCCTTATGTTATTCACGTGTAAATATATATGTATCACCAGAATTACCTTAGACGTCATGCACTTCAAGTAGCAACACGGACTGTGATAGATCTCTAGATTTTTTGAACATTTTGTGGTCAAGCATTACCTTGCCTTTTAAAGAACAATCCGTGTTGTGTTTACAGTTGTAAACATATTAAAGTCCTATACATTGGCAGTCTGAAGTACCGGTTCTGTTAAAGATATCTGTGACCTTCAGAATGCACTCTGGACACTTGCTGGAATAGGACCTACTTGTCATCAACACGGTGCTGCAGACCATCTTGGGACTCGCACAGAAAGTCAAGTGTGAATCTAGATACTGACACCAGTAACAGTGCATGTTGTTGAAAATATTCCAATTCACACTGGCACAATTATTTGTCCAGGCATGGCATTTCGGAATATTTGCCAAGAATGTTTAATATTTTGTGAGTATTCATGACATTTGAATAGAGTTACTGAATAAATCTAGGCTTATTATTGTCTTTTAAGTGTGGATAATGCTCACAATTGAATTTGTTTAAGGTTTCTGGTATCAGCCATGATATTGAATTGAGTGAGTGAGTGAGTTTGGTTTAACGCCGCTTTTAACAATATTCCAGTTATATCGCGGCGTGTCAACTTAATGTGGGAGGAAAGCCCGAAGTGATGCAGGTCTCAGACGTTTACCACTTCGGTGAAACCCACGAGCACGGGGATGGTGCTGACAAACCTACAAACATAATTGGGGCGAACCGGGATTCGAACCCACAATCATAGGTTTCTGGCGTGTCCAAGGGACGCAACCCTGCACAGCGAATCGCGGCGCCTTAGACGACTGGGCCACCCGTGCCCCCGATATTGATTTGATATTGAATATAATATCATAACAATACACACTGAATGTATGATAATATCGGTCAAAATGTTCTTAGAAAATACAACAGATATTTATCAATGAAAATAAAACTTAACCAATTCTTGACCCGTAAATTAAAACAGATTGGCCTAAATGGATGGTGTAAAATATGAAATGTCAGCAAGGTTTTATTGGCAGAATATTTGAAATACACAAATATATGAAAACTAGGTGCAATTGTTTCTCTGAATCAAGTTAATATCGTTGTACTAAATCGTGTTCATCAATGGTCACTGAATGATTGATAAGTTTGATGTGTTTTTTATGTTTATAAAAGACGTTTCACATATATTCCTTTTTGTGTGCATGTTGAGGACCTTCATTTATTTAAGTTAAATATTTTTTGGGATCAACATATGTACAGACAGTGCAAAGTAAATCTATTTGTCATGCATTAATCACTGTCATTTATCCAAAGTAGAGTAAATCATTCAATTTCTCTCAACCTTTTATTATTTCAACAAACCTTTTTCATGGTCTTTGAGTCTTTCTTTTTAATTTCAGTCATCTGGACTTCCATACAGTCATCGTGTACACGTGGATGAGAGTAAAATTGTAGTGCAAGTCTCCTAAAGTGCAAAAAACAATACTATTAAAAACAGTATTATATCTATTCACATTAAATATCAAAAAAAAAAGTTGTTAGTTACACAACAATTTATGCACATGCTTTCTATATTACATAAAACCCTATTGTCCCGTTCATAAATTGAAAATAATAATAGCTTTCTACTTATAAGTAACAAATCAGTTTTGGGGGAAATTACTAAGTAAAGGTGTGTGACAGATTACATATGGAATAAATCTGATTTTACAAATTCCATCCTCCAAATCTTGCCTAATTTAATGCCTAACTATGTCAAACTATCAAGTCAACTATGACGACTGTCAATGGCGGTGACAACCAAGCGTGGTAGTATACTTGTTCCCGTCTAGCAAAGTTGGTTTGGGCGGTCGCGCATTGCGAAAGCAGAACTAGTTCATGAGTATAGGCATGTCACCGGAAGTAGCGCCGCGAGACTTATGGGCCCTATTTTTCATTTCGCCGTGAAACCTGAACCAGTACATTTACAGCGTTTGCCGGGTCGATCTATAATCTAATTAAACATGGCCATAAGCTCAGATCAACCCAACCAGGAAAAAGGCTGTAAATGGAGGCGCGTGATATATTTATCCAGCAAAACAAACAAACACATATCAAATGTTTTAATTTACAAGATTCAAAGAAACTTATCTAACATCGCAGACAACATTTGAAAGATACTGATGCTGCACACCAAGCACTGTTGTTAGATTACACTGATATTTAGGTTATATTTAGAAGGGATAAATTTGTCTTTTGTGTGAAGAGTGCCAACAAGGAAGTACAACACTTATTATTGACACGATGTTTCATGGCTACACAGGACTAAGGACAGCAGATCTCGCACAATGTTCTGCAAGGCATCTTTGAATATCCGACCCCAGGAGATTGTCGCCAGGCCGAACCTACAATGGGAGGTGGGCGCATACTCCTTGGAGGACATTCTACAGAAGTACCCCCTCCCTCGTGTGGTGCAGTGTGCCTATACACTCAATGATGACATATCCACGGAGAAGTCCAACTTTGATTTTCTTCAGCCCATGTTGTTGCACCAGAAGCGTGTGTGTAACAAGGTGACAGCAACCAGTCTCAATACTGATCCTCAAACTGGACACACGGTGGAGGTCGGGGCACCCCTACTCATACCTGAAGATTACAAAGGTAAGTAAACATATGTTGGAGTGAATGAAATGTTGTAGAAAGATGATAGTGTGCAATGGTCATATAGAGGAGACAGAGCTGGTAGAGCGATAGATCAGTTGTTAGGAATTAGGGGCCGACCATTTTATATTCTGGTGGGGCGGAAGGGAATTTATCGAATAAAAAAACATATAATTCTTCAGGGCGTTGAACAAAAAGAAATTGCCTGCTACAAAACTTACATTCTTGCAAGGTGTTTTTCTTGAAAGAAATTGCCTGCTACAAAACTTACATTCTTGCAAGGTGTTTTTCTTGAAAGAAATTGCCTGCTACAAAACTTACATTCTTGCAAGGTGTTTTTCTTGAAAGAAATTGCCTGCTACAAAACTTACATTCTTGCAAGGTGTTTTTCTTGAAAGAAATTCAGGCTCAAAGTTTAAACAAACAAAACTTTTCTGCTTTGTAGCTGTAGCTGAACACATATCTTATCTCGATACAAAATCCCAGCCCAACCCTCAACCTCATCCCCAATATCACATGCTCGGTCTCTAAGCTGGAAATGCACTGAAATGCGTATCAAAGATGACTGAACACATGTATGTTAAGATATGCATATACTTGGATATAATATTATGAAATCGCCTCTCCAATAATAAGGATCTTTCCTGCCGAAAATATCAAAAGTCTGTCCAGCTTTACCCACAGGAGCACATGTCCCTTCAAATTATAAAGCATTTGATAACAATTATAGGATGCCTATCTTTTCAGGATGGTTTGCAGTCACATACAAGCCCCACGTCGAGCCAGTTCCCCACTTCTGCCAGGTTGAAGTCCTGGCTTCATCTGACTGCGACACGATCCTGATTGGTGGAGAATGTGATGTGAATGCATTGCAGGTATACAAAGAAGGTGACCTACCACAGCCAAGAGTTCTCTACCCTGGCGATGTCCTTAGTGTTGGCAACGTGCATGTCACAACAACTAAAGCGAAAAAGAAAATGTTCAAAAAATCGGTTTCGAGGGAAGAGAAGTTTCTCCGCTGCACAGATTATGCTGACAGAGAGGTACTCCTTCCCTTTGATGCTACAGGAATCTTCTATGCTCTGAAGCAAAAGAGGAAAACGGAAATTCCCATCATGCATATTAAAGATATCATCACTGATATCAAACTTCCCTGCATAGTCAAGTTGGTGTACGGACGTTTTCCAGTCACTCCGTGTATATTTACTGGAATGTTGAAGTTGGAGGAATGCCACAAAGATGCGTCAGTCATTGTGTCCTCTGTTTTCAACCTAAAGAATATACTTCTGGAGATCCCAGTTACTATTCCTCTGATGTTCAGAGTGGCTATAACTGACAAATCACTGATAGTAAGTAAAGGCTATAATAATGCGTTAAGGCAGTGTCAAGAGGAGATGGAAACCTACACGAGGAATATCAAAGTATCTCAGGGACAAACAACAGGAGCACAAGCTCAAGTCAAATCCCCACCACTTTTTCCTCAAGTCCCGATTTCTGTTCACTCGAAGACTACTTCTGACTGCATAGCCCCTGAAATGTCAAGATATTCACGTAAATCTCCCAAACTTACAAATGGGAAATCAGTAACTTCTGAGTCAGCGCCTCCTGTCGATCAATGCTTCTCCGGGAGATCCTCCTCCTCCTCCTCCTCCTCAGCACGTGCTTCTTCCAAGCGTGACAATGATTACATACCAATGTGGATTGGTCCACAGACGCCTACTCCACCAACATCTGAAGGGTCTGGGTACCCTCATTCTCAACCACCGCAGATTACAAAACAAAATTCGATAACCATAAGCACGAGAAATGGATATATGACCGTGCCGATGTATCCTCGCCACACTGAAGTCGCGGACAGAGAGCAGGTCATTAGCCTTGTAGACAAGATCAACTTATGGCAGCGTAAGAACACATTTGACCAGAATGGTTCCAGTCCAGATTCGGTGGATCCTGCTACCGGTGCCAGTATGCCTAGAAGGAAAGCTAGCTTCACATACTCAGAAACAGGTGAAATAACGGAGGGTGGTGATACAATAAGGCATCAAGCGACGACAAAAGGGCCGGCGATTATGTCTCAAAATATCCAAATCATGAGGTAATACAGAGAGTTAAAGGGGTCGGTGGGGAGCCTAGTGGTTATAGCTGTCGCTATAATTTGTGAAGCCCATTTCTGGTGTTCCACGTCATGACATTGCTGGAATATTGCGAAAAAGCGGTGTAAAACTATACTCAGTCAATCAGAGTGTTAAGGGGACAATTTCAAAACGTCTTATCCTTCTCAACATTGATTTTGATTTTGGACTAGTATTCACAATATCAGAAACTATGATCCATCAACCATAAGATGAATAAGATCACAGAGGCTACACCTTCAGGTGTATGTGCAGAGAAGGGAATAGAATTCTATACCCAGACGACTTTTGTTCTTTATTTAATATTATTCTTTTCCTTGGGGCACGGGTGGCCACGTCGTCTAAGTCACCGCGATTCGCTGTGCAGAGTTGCGTCCCTTGGGCACGCCAGGAACCTATGAATGTGGGTTTCGAATTATGTTTCCCCCTATTATGTTTCTAGGTTTGTCGGCACCATACCCGTGCTCGTGGGTTTCACCGAAGTGGTAAACGTCTGAGACCTGCATCACTTCGGGCTTTCCTCCCACATTAAACTGACACGCCGTGATATAACTGGAATACTGTTAAAAGCGGCGTTAAACCAAATTCACTCACTCACTTCTTATCCTGGTATCAAATATACTCATATCTTTCTGTTCCTATCAGATATTGTGAAAGTGACACATTAGTATCTTATCTTACTCTGTTTAAGACTTTCCTTATCTATTGATCTCCACGTCATTTGGATTTGTTGGGTTTATAACCATGTGGAAATTATAACAGTCAGACATTTTAATTTGTATCCTGATTCCTTTGAAATGACAACAACCTCTATTAATATAACCAACCAAATACAAACAAAACCCTGCATCATGTCCACTTAATGTTCGGGGAAATACCCTCTGACACAGGCATTCGTCATCTGTTTAACTGAAAGATTTTCAATGTATTCCCACTATGTGAAATGAACTTAACTGAACTATCTTTACACTCAGGTCACTTGCAGCGACATAAGAACTACAATTCAAGTATTGATACTTTATTTACACTTAGGTCGCTAGCAGCGGTATAAGAGGTAGAATTCAAGTATTGTCACTTTATTTACACTCAGGTTACAAGCAGCGGTATATGAGATACAATTCAAGTATTGTCACTTTATTTACACTCAGGTTACAACCAGCGGTATAAGAGATACAATTCAAGTATTGTCACTTTATTTACACTTAGGTCGCTAGCAGCGGTATAAGCGATAAAATTCAAGTATTGTCACTTTATTTACACTTAGGTCGCTAGCAGCGGTATAAGAGGTACAATTCAAGTATTGTCACTTTATTTACACTCAGGTTACAAGCAGCGACATAAGAGATACAATTCAAGTATTGTCACTTTATTTACACTTAGGTCGCTAGCAGCGGTATAAGCGATAAAATTCAAGTATTGTCACTTTATTTACACTTAGGTCGCTAGCAGCGGTATAAGAGGTACAATTCAAGTATTGTCACTTTATTTACACTCAGGTTACAAGCAGCGACATAAGAGATACAATTCAAGTATTGTCACTTTATTTACACTTAGGTCGCTAGCAGCGGTGAAAGAGGTACAATTCAAGTATTGTCACTTTATTTACACTCTGGTTACTAGCAGCGACATAAGAGGTACAATTCAAGTATTGTCACTTTATTTACACTCTAGTCACTAGCTACGGCATAAGAGGTACAATTAAAGTATTGATACTTTTTATTTCCACTCATGTCACTAGCAGCGGTATAAGAGGTACAATTCAAGTATTGTCGCTTTATTTACACTCAGGTTACAAGCAGCGACATACATTGTAAGAGATACAATTCAAGTATTGTCACTTTATTTACACTTAGGTCGCTAGCAGCGGTATAAGCGATACAATTCAAGTATCGTCACTTTATTTACACTTAGGTCGCTAGCAGCGGTATAAGAGGTACAATTCAAGTATTGTCACTTTATTTACACTCTGGTTACTAGCAGCGACATAAGAGGTACAATTCAAGTATTGTCACTTTATTTACACTCTGGTCACTAGCAACGGCATAAGAGGTACAATTCAAGTATTGATACTTTTTATTTCCACTCATGTCACTAGCAGCGGCATTAGAGGTACAATTCAAGTATTGTCGCTTTATTTACACTCAGGTTACAAGCAGCGACATACATTGTAAGAGATACAATTCAAGTATTGTCACTTTATTTACACTTAGGTCGCTAGCAGCGGTATAAGCGATAAAATTCAAGTATCGTCACTTTATTTACACTTAGGTCGCTAGCAGCGGTATAAGAGGTACAATTCAAGTATTGTCACTTTATTTACACTCTGGTTACTAGCAGCGACATAAGAGGTACAATTCAAGTATTGTCACTTTATTTACACTCTGGTTACTAGCAGCGACATAAGAGATACAATTCAAGTATTGTCACTTTATTTACACTTAGGTCGCTAGCAGCGGTATAAGCGATACAATTCAAGTATCGTCACTTTATTTACACTTAGGTCGCTAGCAGCGGTATAAGAGGTACAATTCAAGTATTGTCACTTTATTTACACTCTGGTTACTAGCAGCGACATAAGAGGTACAATTCAAGTATTGTCACTTTATTTACACTCTGGTCACTAGCAACGGCATAAGAGGTACAATTCAAGTATTGATACTTTTTATTTCCACTCATGTCACTAGCAGCGGCATTAGAGGTACAATTCAAGTATTGTCACTTTATTTACACTCTGGTCATTAGCAACGGCATAAGAGGTACAATTCAAGTATTGATACTTTTTATTTCCACTCATGTCACTAGCAGCGGCATTAGAGGTACAATTCAAGTATGGGGTATTATTTTTTAGATCAATGTCATGGTCTTATCACGTCAACAACGCGTTCGTCCCTGCAAAATCGATTCTCTGCGGAATTATAAACTCTATATACATGCTGCAGCCTTTAATTCAGGATCTGTTTTTTAAATAACATACTCCAAAATTAACCCAAAATTACTGTCTGTTCTGAAGTATGAGGTGTTGACAAATACCAGGAAAAATGTTCAATGTTCAATGTGTTCTCCTACAAGCATTAAATAAAACCTGCGATATTCTGGTTTTATTGTCCGTCGTCGATAGTTTTTTGTACATCATTAATATATAACGCTCTGGTCATACAAGTAACAGGGCTTCAATATTGCCGTGACTTAAAATTTGACCTCACTCACTCATTTGCCACAATGCCGATCTGATTGGTTTAAATGTTGCTGTACCGGTGTGCCGAGTCTTACACAAACACGGCAGTGGCTTTGCACTCAAAAGAGGACATCCTGATTTCATCGTGACTCATCGTGAACACTTAGAAGCTTCCTCTCGTAACTGAATCAACAGTTAACATGGGGCGTCTGGCTGCCCATTCTGTCAAATGCAGAGGTTTTACGTAAATATATAGGTTATTTCGTTGTTAAATAACCTAGATATCCTTTCCGAGATAAACGGACATATCTCGATAAATAAGAAACATCAAGTGATTTCTGAAAGGAGAATCGGGAGATTGTAAGATGAAAATGGGATATTGAGAATTACAGATTTAATGATGATAAAAGCGAATTAATATGTGGACACAATACGTCCACGGTATTCCTTGCTTTCCGTAAGAGCCATTTAATGGGTGTGTGTGTGTGTGTGGGGGGGGGGGGGGGGCCACGGGTGGCCCAGTCGTCTAAGGCGCAGCGATTCGCTGTGCAGAGTTGCGTCCCTTGAACGCCAGAAACCTATAAATGTGGGTTCGAATCCCGGTTCGCCCCGATTATGTTTCTAGGTTTGTCAGCACCATACCCGTGCTCGTGGGTTTCACCGAAGTGGTAAACGTCTAAGACCTGCATCACTTCGGGCTTTCCTCCCACATTAAGCTGACACGCCGTGATATAACTGGAATACTGTTAAAAGCGGCGTTAAACCAAACTCACTCACTCACTCACTCAATTCATGAGGATCAGGTGGATAAAATGGCTGGCTGTTTGTGTCTTATCGTACCCGGACGACATGGATCGTTATCATATTCCTTACTTTAAATGTAAATAATCGAGTCAGAACCTGGCAACCCAGTGATTGATGTCGTGAGAAACAATGAACGCAGTCGGAGCACGTTGACACGCCATCAACCAAGTCACGGAGCCTGACCACCCGATCCATTAAACCGCATATGCTGCTAAGGACCTGTTCTAAGTTCTCGAAAGAGCGTAGGTGACAGCCATCTGATTGTTTGGCAGGAATGACATCAAAGGCTGCTATAAGTGTCATGAATGTGTCAGTTGTAAGTTCTGTGTGTCCGGTGTCTACACTCAATCATCATAAGCCAAGTTACCATAAACATCTTGCGACACTTAATTGTTATTTCCTGAATTAATAATGTTTCACAGAAACTCTATTTATTCTACTTATAATGAAGCAGAGTTAGCATTGTAATGCCATTCCGTGTACGGGAATATCTTAACGATGATTGCACAAGTTGAATAATTAAGTGGGCGTTTGGTGATCTCGAACCTTGATTCATAATGATTAATACACAAGTTCAATCTACAGAAGGAAGCACGAGCAGCCTTGTTCTCTAATGCGCCGCAGTTCGCTGTTGAGAGTTAATCTACGAGGCGTGCAAGAAGCCTGTGATTATGGGTCCTAATCAAGTGTTTAAGATTTAAAACCTGCATCGTGTTCTCCCACATTAAGCTGACACGCCGTGATATGACTGATATATTGTTCAAAGCGGCGTTCAATCCAACTAACTCAATCTAGAGAAAGCTGGTGTCTCTCACTGAACAGTGTGAGTAATTGAATGGAGTTTCATCAATGCAATCGTGACAGCACGGCATAAGATTAACGAGGCAGAAAGGACCAGGAACTTTAAACTTCTTGGCTAGCCAAGCACATAATCCCCGTCTATGGTCACATTCAGCATTAGTCGTCTTGTTAAAAAAGACAACAGTAAATATTGAAAAAACATGGTCAGTTTTTATAACTTGATGGATGTACATTTAAAAAACATCTTACCCAAAATCATTCAATCAAAGCTGCTAGATTTCTCAATCTACATTCAACTGATTCTGACTTGGTGCAGTAGAAACTGATATAGGTTATGGGACAAATCTTACAGGAAATTATCATTATTATTTCACATTACAGACCTAATATTTCCAAATTGTAAACATTTTTCAGGCAGATGCAATTTTCTCAGCTCATCATCTTACGAACACGTATCTAGCTGATCTTAGATCAGGCCAGCAATTTGAACAATCAAACAAACAAATTGCCACCGTTTCTTGTGATCACCCACAAAACTAGTCGTATGTAGCGACCATTGTGGCC